ACTCCAAAGAGAGAGAGAGAAAGAGAGGAAGGGAGAAAGAAAAGAAGGGAGGCAGGGAGAGACAGGAAGGAAAGAAAGAAAAGAAAGAGAAGGGGGAAGGAGGAAAGAAAAGAAAGAGAGGGGAAGAAGGAGGGAGGGGGAAGGGAGGAGGGAAGGGGGGAAAGAAGAAGAGGAAGGAAAGAAGGAAAGAAGAAAGAAGAAAGAAAGAAAAAAGAAAGAAGAAAGAAAGAAGGAAGGAAGGGAGGGAGGGAGGGAGGGAGGGAGGGAAGAGGGGAGGAGGAGGGAGGGAAGAAAGAAAGGAAGGAAGGAAGGAAGGAAGGAAGGAAGGAAGGAAGGAAGGAAGGAAGGAAGGAAGGAGGGGAGGAGGGCTCCAGGGAGGGAGGGAGGGAGGAAGGAAGGAAGGAAGGAAGGAAGGAAGGAAGGAAGGAAGGAAGAAAAGAAAGAGGGGAGAAAGAAAGAGGAAGGAAGGAAGGAAGGAAAAAAGAAGAAAAAGAGAGGGAGGGAAGAAAAGAAGAAATAAAGAGAAAGACGAAGGAAGGAAGGAAGGAGGGAGGGAGGGAAGAAGGAATGAAAGAAAGAAAAGAAAGAGGGGGAGGGAGGAAAAAAAGGAAGAAAGAAAAGGAGGGAAGGGAGGGTGGAAAAGAAAAGAAGAAAGAAAGAAAGAAAGAAAAGAAAGAAAGAAAGAAAGAAAAGAAAAGAAAGAGGAGAGGAGGAAAGAAAAAGGGAGGAGGAAGAAAGAGGGATGGAGGAAGGAAGGAAGAAAAGAGAGGGAGGGAAGAAAAGAAGAAAGAGAGAAGAAGGAAGGAAGGAAGGAAAGAGGGAGGAAGAAAGAGGGAGGGAAGAAAGGAGGGAGGGAAGAAAGGAGAAAGAAAGAAAAGAAAGGGGGGGGAGGAAGAAAGGAAGGAAAGGAAAAGGAGGAAGGAGGAGGAAAGAAAGAAGAAGGAAGAAAGAAAGAAAGGAAAGAAAGAAAGAAAGAAAGAAGGAAAAGAAAGAAAGAAAGAAAAGAAAAGAGGAGAGAAGAAAGAGGGAGGAGGGAGAGGGAGGAGGGAAAGAAAAAAGGGAGGAAAGAAAGAGAGAGAGGGAGGGAGGGAGGGAGGAAAGAAAAAAGGGAGGAAAGAAAGAGAGGGAGGGAGGAGGGAGGGAGGAAAAGGAGAGAGAGAGATTTGAAGTCCAAAACCCCTGGAGGGCCCAAGTTTGCCCATGCCTGAGCTAGACAGATCACACTATGTAACAAAATTTGAAACGACTTCTCTTCCTGGTTTCAAAGTGTTATTTCCTGTTTAATTGTACTTTGTACTTTGAAAAGCACGTTAAAATTAGTTGTTATCCTTTGATAACAAAGGTTGAGTGGATTGTTGTAGGTTTTTTGGGCTATATGGCCATGTTCTAGAAGCATTCTCTCCTGACGTTTCACCTGCATCTATGGCAAGCATTCTCAGAGGTTGTGAGGTCTGACAACCTGAGGATGCTTGCCATAGATGCAGGCGAAACGTCAGGAGAGAATGCTTCTAGAACATGGCCATACAGCCCGAAAAACCTACAACAACCCAGTGATTCCAGCCATGAAAGCCTTCGACAGTACAAAGATGGAGTGATCGATGCAGTCTCCCTTTTTCGATTTCAGGTTGGATCCGTGACCGGACCGGCAGCTACAACGCGTCTTTCCTGGCGGCAGGTGCTTTTGTCACCGCCGGAGGTTTGGCTTTTCTGATGTTGCCTGGTTTCTTCTCCCTTCGCCCTCCTGCCTCCCCCCAAAAACTTGATTTTCCAGAAGGAGAGAAGCCGGAGGATTCACCGGATCCGAACCATCGGAATAGACTTTACTCTGCCTAAGAAAAAGGCCAAGACTTTGGGTTGGGATTGAGCATCTCAGAGGATATACAACAGGCATGGGCCAACTTCGTCCCTCCTTGCAGGTGTTTTGGACTTCAACTCCCACAATTCCTAACAGCCTGTCAGAAGCAAATTGAGAATATTAAAATTATATTCTCAAAATTAAAAACTTGGCATTCTGCTAAATGTCTTTTGACCAGAAGCTGACCACTTGGAGTGTCTCTGGTGTTGCTATAAGAAGGTCCTCCATTGTGCATGTGGCAGGGCTCAGGTTGCATTGCAGCAAGTGGTCAGTGGTTTGCTCCTCTCCACACTCGCATGTCGTGGACTCCACTTTGTGGCCCCATTTCTGAGGGTTGGCTCTGCATCTCGTGGTGCCAGAGCACAGCCTGTTCAGCCCTTCAAAGTCACACAGTCTTCTGTGTCCCCAGGAGGAAGTCTATCATCCGGTCTCAGCCACTGATTGAGATTCTGGATTTTTGCCTGCCACTTTTGGACTCTTGCTAGCTGAGGTGTTCCTGCAAGTATATACATCTTAGGAAGCTATTTCTTGATTTAAGATGTTGGCATACTGGCTGATGTCCGAATAGCGGATGGGCTGGAGATGTCCATGCCTTGGTCTTTTCATTGCTGGCTGCTACTTCCAAGATATCAGGTGGTATATAGTATAATTTCTCTAACGGCATAGGGCGTAGCCATCCTGTTAGAATGAGGCTTGCCTCATCAAGAGTCACATCCTCTGTTGTAACATGGTGAGATGTGTTCCACACTGGGCATGCGTACTCAGCAGCAGAGTAGCCAAGCGCAAGGGCAGATGTCTTCACTGTGTCTGGTTGTGATCCCCAGGTTGTGCCAATCAGCTATTATTTCTAGCGCCCAGTTTTTGCTTGATAGTCAAGCAGTGCTTCTTGTAAGTCAGAGCCCGCATAGTCCAGAGTGACTCTATGGGATTTGGGTGTGCTGCAATGATCCAGTGGGATCCCTTCCTAGGGGCCTTTCCACACAGCCCTATATCCCAGAATATCAAGGCAGAAAATCCCACAATATCTGCTTTGAATTGGGTTATTTGTGCCCACACTCAGATAATGTGGTATTTCGTGCCTTGATATTCTGGGATATAGGGCTGTGTGGAAGGACTAAAATGATCAAGGGTCTGGAGAACAAGCCCTATGAGGAGCGGCTTAAGGAGCTGGGCATGTTTAGCCTGAAGAAAAGAAGGCTGAGAGGAGATATGATAGCCATGTATAAATATGTGAGAGGAAGCCACAGGGAGGAGGGAGCAAGCTTGTTTTCTGCTTCCCTGGAGACTAGGACGCAAGGGAACAATGGCTTCAAACTACAAGAAAGGAGATTCCATCTGAACACGAGGAAGAACTTCCTGACTGTGAGAGCCATTCAGCAGTGGAACCCTCTGCCCTGTAGTGTGGTGGAGTCTCCTTCTTTGGAAGCTTTTAAACAGAGGCTGGATGGCCATCTATCGGGGGTGATTTGAATGCAATATTCCTGCTTCTTGGCAAAATGGGGTTGGACTGGATGGCCCATGAGTTCTCTTCTAACTCTAGCATCCTATGATTCTATGACCCTAGGTAATCCTCAGAGCCCAAGCTGCTTAACGTGAACAGCACACGTCTGCATTTTAGATTGATTAAGAATCACCTGTTTTTCCCTGTTAGCCCCAGCTTCTGCCCACCTAGCAGTTCGAAAGCATTGGATCCACAGGTTCCCGCTTTCCTTTGAGTAGGTGAAAGGTAACTGCGCTCCATGTAGTCATGCTGGCCACATGACCTTGGAGGTGTCTACAATGCCGGCTCTTTGGCTTAGAAATGGAGATGAGCAACACCCTCCTGAGGCAGGCACGACTAGAGTTTATGTCAAGGGAAACTTAGCACCTCAAGCTTCAGAGAGCTCCTCTTCAACTATTTCAAAGCTCCCTGCTTGAGCGGTGATGGCACGATCGTTAGCATAGATGTTAGGAATTGTGGGAGCTGAAATCCAAAACACCTGGAGGGAAGGCTGAAATTGGCTCATACCTGATCTATAGAATCATAGAATCAAAGAGTTGGAAGAGACCTCATGGACCATCCAGTCCAACCCCATTCTGCCAAGAAGCAGGAATACTGCATTCAAAGCACCCCTGACAGATGGCCATCCAGCCTCTGTTTAAAAGCTTCTAAAGAAGGAGCCTCCACCACACTCCGGGGCAGAGAGTTCCACTGCTGAACGGCTCTCACAGTCAGGAAGTTCTTCCTCATGTTCAGATGGAATCTCCTCTCTTGTTGTTTGAAGCCATTGTTCCACTGCGTCCTAGTCTCCAAGGAAGCAGAAAACAAGCTTGCTCCTTCCTCCTCCCTGTGCTTCCTCTCACATATTTATACATGGCTATCACATCTCCTCTCAGCCTTCTCTTCTTCAGGCTAAACATGCCCAGTTCCCTAAGCCGCTCCTCATAGGGCTTGTTCTCCAGACCCTTGATCATTTTAGTCGCCCTCCTCTGGACACATTCCAGCTTGTGAATATCTCTCTTGAATTGTGGTGCCCCGAATTGGACACAATATTCCAGGTAATATTGTGTCCAGATAATGTGGGATTTCCTGCCTTGATATTTTGGGATATAGGGCTGTGTGGAAGGGCCCTAGGTAATCCCCAGCGCTCGAGATGCTTAAGGTGAACAGCACACGTCTGCAATTGAGATTAAGAATCACCTGTTTAGCCCCAGCTTCTGCCAACCTAGCAGTTCAAAAACATGCAAATGTGTGCAGCTAAAAGGTAACTGCACTCCATGCAGTCATGCTGGCCACATGACCTTGGAGGTGTCTACGGACAACGCCGGCTCTTTGGCTTAGAAATGGAGATGAGCAACACCCACCTGAGTCAGGCACAACTAGAGTTAATGTCAAGGGAAACTCAGCACCTCAAGCTTCGGAGAGCTTCTCTTCAACTATTTCAAAGCTCCCTGCTTGAGTGGTGATGGCACGATCGTTAGCATAGATGTTAGGAATTGTGGGAGCCGAAATCCAAAACACTTGGAGGGAAAGCTGAAGTTGGCTTATGCCTGATCTGCACTGTGCAACAAGTGCAGTTCTGGCATTTGTTGAACAAATTTGGCCTTAAAACAACCTACGTTTACATCAACTTCAAGAAACGCAACAATAACAACAACAATAGCATCCCAGCCATCCTTCTTCCTTTTTTAATAAACATGGGCTAAATAAATTAAAACACTTGGGTCATTTCGAACGCTTATAACCAAAGAGAGGCTTTAAAAAAGGAAACCGATTTTAATGTATAGTTTGCTGGTGTGGACTGGACTCACCATGAATAAAACAAAAGAAGTTTGCAAAAGTTTGGGAGCAAATTGGTCCCTGTTTGCAGAACCAGTCCGAAGGCTTCCAGCCATTTCCATGCGCAAAATGCACACCTAGAAAGCATGCTCTTTCCCCTGTAATTGGGGACACCCTTCATTTAATCCACATCCTTCCTTTGGCACTATCTTCCCCTTTTTCCCCAGTGGTTTCTTCTTCACCAAACTCAAAGGAAGTGGGCCAAGTTGGGAAGATACTTCATCAGTTTCTTCTCCATCAGAAACAAACATTCGGTCCCACATAGCAATAAATAAAAAGAAGATAAAGATCCCCAAAACAGAGCAAAGAGAAAGCTCAGTTCTTCCTCACTATGATGCTCCAAAGAGGGGGAAATTATTCCCCCAAAAGTGCCCAAAATAGGATCTGAGATTTCCTGCTTTTGTCCCCATAGGTTTGGATGAGGATCCACACATTTCGTATTTGTACGTAGCGGCTATTTTTGTGTCTTCTTCCCCTCTCTGTGGTTCACAATGTGGTCAGCTTCAGGTCGTAGCTCCTCCTGGCCAGTTTCTCCGGATCATTGGAGGCCATGAGCGAAAAGTCGTGGAAAATATCAAGGTACGTTTCGTCCCCTGGAAGAAAGAAGAAAGACTATGAGGACATTATCGCCAAAGGAAAACCACCTTCTTGGAGAAAGAGCTGGGAAAAGCATACTTTTTTTGGATAACAACTCCCAAAATCCCTTAGTCAGCAAGACAAGTTTGTTGGTACTGGGCAGCTTCTTCTAAAGTAGTGTTTCTGAACTTGGAGGGGTCACGAGGAGGTTTCAGAGGGGTCGCCAATGACAATCAGGAAACACATATTTCTGATCTTCACATCTTCCTTTTTGGAAACAGGTGGCGAATTATAGGTGAACTATAAATCCCAGCAACTACAGCTCCCAAATGTCAAGGTCTATTTTCTTCAAACTCCACCAGTGTTTACATTTGGGCCTATTGAGCATCTGTGCCACATTTGGTCCAAATCCATCATGGTTTGAGTCCACAGTGCTCTCTGAATGTAGGTGAACTACAACTCCAAAACTCAAGGTGGGTTTGAGAAGCTCTCGAAACCTTTCTCCCAATTGTCAAGGTCTACTTTCCCCAAACTCCACCAGTGTTCACAATTGGGCCTAATAAGTATCCATGCCAAGTTTGGTTCAGATCCCATCATGGTTTGAGTCCACAATGCTCTCTGGATGTAGGTGAACTACAACTCCAAAACTCAAGGTGGGTTTGAGAAGCTCTCGAAACCTTTCTCCCAAATGTCAAGGTCTACTTTCCCCAAACTCCACTAGTGTTTACATTTGGGCCTATTGAGTATCCATGCCAAGTTTGGTCCAGATCCATCATGGTTTGAGTCCACAATGCTCTCTGGATGTTGGTGAACTACAACTCCAAAACTCAAGGTGGGTTTGAGAAGCTCTCGAAACCTTTCTCCCAAATGTCAAGGTCTACTTTCCCCAAACTCCACCAGTGTTTACATTTGGGCCCATTGAGTATCCGTGCCAAGTTTGGTCCACATCCATCATGGTTTGAGTCCACAATGCTCTCTGGATGTAGGTGAACTATAACTCCACCAAACCCTTTCAGTATTTTCTATTGGTCATGGGAGTTCTGTGTGCCAAGTTTGATTGAATTCCATCGTTGGTGGAGTTCAGAATGCTCTTTGATTGTAGGTGAACTATAAATCCCAGCAACTACAACTCCCAAATGACAAAATCAATTCTCCCCAACCCCACCAGTATTCAAATTTGGGTGTATCGGGTATTTGTGCCAAATTTGGTCCAGTGAATGAAAATACATCCTGCATATCAGATATTTACATGACAATTCATAACAGTAGCAAAATAGCAGTTATGAAGTAGCAATAAACATAATGTTATGGTTGGGGGTCACTACAACATGAGGAAGTGTATGAAGGGGTCACGGCATGACGAAGGTTGAGAAACACTGTTGTAAAAGAAATGCAACTTTGTCTCTCCATGCCCCACAATGCAATGAACAGATTCCTTCACAGGCTGCAACTACACTAGAACCAATGCAGCTGTCATGAAATAATGAGAGGTTGAGAGGTGATTAGATGCCCTTGTTTATTTCCTCTCTGTTGTTGTGCTGTTGTAATTTTAGAGTTTTTTTTAATACTGGTAGCCAGATTTTGTTCATTTTCATGGTTTCCTCCTTTCTGTTGAAATTGTCCACATGCTTGTGGATTTCAATGGCTTCAAACAAGGACATCTAATCACCTCTCAACAAAAGATTGCCCCAGGTACTGTCAGGCCATCACATGCTAATCAAGGTGGTTAGTTGAAACATTCACACCTAGC